AATCGTAAAATGTCGCAAAAAACCGCGTATTATTCCACTTGTGTTTCTGGTAAGAAAAAATATGAAAAAAATAGATTTCGTTAAATAATTTTCTTCGATTTTTCTTTTTGACAGGCTGCAGTCTTTGTACGCACGTTAATATCGCAAAATTCGCGCATGCCAAACCGAAAGATTAAATCTAAGCGCCACAAGATACATTTTGTCTTTCCGTTTGCTTGGAACTACGTGTGTGGTCTCGACGGAGCACGTGTCGACTGGGACGCGAGCGCAACTTTTTCTCGCGCGGGAGACGTGCTATGCACTTTTCGGCGCAAAATCTGGAATTCCAGATCCGCGAGTTCTGCCAAGGGATTCCCTCTTGGAACTGGTGGGATTTGTGCGGTAGGTGCAGTAAGAAATGCTCGAGATTATTGCTTAGCAAAACCTATAAGTCCTTGCATCGATTTCTGTTCTCTTCTTTTATATTTGTTAAATATTTTCGGCAACGGAATTAAAAAATGACATGCGATACAATAATATTAATTATTACAGGATATTTTCTATTTTACAATAAATAATTCATACAGAAATCGCGCTTTCCACAAAAATTATCCATCGAAATAAAACGTACGATGCCACAAAATAATAGAAAAGAAAGTAAATATGATTTGTGTTATGACGAATAAGTTTTTCCTTCTACATATTTCTTTTTCCACATCTTAAAAAAATAGATTGCGAGCTCTATGACTTTTGTATTTATGTAATTTCTCGTACGGAGCATTCTAAAAAGATATCTTGCATCTATAATGTCAGATAGATTGTTCTTTTAAAATACGATATACAAAATGTATGTTAAAATAATATAGACAATCATTATTACGTGGCTAAATTAACACTACTTTTGAGTTATGCATCGTCATAAAATCTTACATGCCTACAGCATTATTTTTAATCCATGGACTTTATATAAAGACAATTGTGCATAAATAACACTGTTCTGGCACATATACTGCAATACAGAAATATCGCGCTTGTAATTTTATTCGTGTGACATTTTCAGCATCGCACGGAATATTTCGGAATAAATGCCCGCGAGCGACAATTTCCCAATGACAATCGCAAAATTCACGCGTTTTCGCATTGTTCCAATATAAATTCTTTGTATTATCAACTTCACTCACTTTTATTTATTTCTTTTGAAGAAGAACGTATGTATTTAAATCGAATATATTATATTTAATTTAAATACAAACATTTTACAACGAAAGGAATAAAGACAACTAAATTAATTTAGTGAAATAAACAATTAACTTAGTCAAATGAATAATTTTTTTTTCATTGTCAGTGTTATAATTTGGTGAACAAAAAATGTTATACACATAGCTCAAATAATGAATAATTTTTGAGCTGTGATATATTAAAAGTGTAAGACTTGTATCACAGAGTAGTTTTGATACTCACATCAAACTCAAAAACTCCTATTATTTGAGCCATGTGTATATTTTTGTTCACTACATTATAAGCTACAACATATGTGAAATTAATTTCACTGAAATCTGATTTGATGTTAACTAGCGCGCATACTTTGTTATATAACATTATATATAAAAAATTATATAAAATATATGTAAATTATTATAATTTGCGGCTTATTTAATGAATACTTAATCACTGCTTAATGTCATTTGTCGGTAGCTCAAAAATTGTTAAGTATATATAATATTATAATAATGAGATAAAAATCTCATATTTTGAAATTTTTGTGATAATGAGGAGTGTCACTGATTGTGAGTAACAATTACTCGCTGTAGCCTTTATCGCAAATGTCAACAATTAAGATAATAGCGAGTGCAAGTGACACAGCATTATCACGGAAATTGCTATTAAATTGCAATACGATTGCGAGATAAGCCGTGTATGTTTTTAAATTCACTGACATAATCTGGCGATTGTTACGCCAGTACGTGTCGTTCTCAATTACGCGGGTCTCGACATGAGCAGGACGGACGCAATAGCAAAATAAAAAAAGAGAGATATATATGAAAGTTTTTCATGTAATCTTTCAGAATATTTGTATAAAAATTTTAAAATTTTTCAGAATTTATAAGTAATTTTATAACTTTTTCAAAAATTTCTCAGATTTTTTGTACAAATTGGAACACTTTTAAAAAATGTCGAGAAAATCTACATCTTTCCTACAAGGAAAAAAATAGATTGAGTGATTCAATAAAGCTATAATAGCTTGCTGCGTGAGTTCAGCATCTAACTAAAAAAAATGTGATGTTTTAACAAAGAAATTATATCTGTAAGCAAATATCAGTATGCTAATTCAGCTAATATTCTTTGCTACAAAGAAAACTGCTAATGTAATAAGTTTTCTTCATTACAGTAGCAAAAGTATGTGCTATCTCAGCTATCATGTTTTTTTTTATCTATATATTGGATTGATTACAGCTGTAGATTTGCTGAATCAGTTGAAGTTTTAAATTGTTTTAATAAATTTTTTCTTTCCACGTAGAATTCTTCATACATGTGTGAATCCTAAAATATTCTAAGATCTCTAAGATTTCTCATCCTATAATTTCTGGTGAAATCCTATAAAATCTGAAAAAAATTAAGATATTTTTTTTAGAAAAAAATAATGGAATAAGAAATTTGAAATTTTAATTTCAGAATATTTGAAAAATTCTAAGAAAAGATGTAGACTTTCTCGGTATTTCTGAAAAGTGTTCCAACTCGTATAAAAAAATTCTGAGAAAATTTTCACCAAGTTAAACATAAAGTTACGCAAAAACGTGGTTGCATTGAATTCAGCTGCATTCTCCAGCTGAAAGACGCAGGCTTTTACGCCCAGCGGATTCCTCGTAGCGACATCGCACGGCACGGTGCCAATTCACCAGGATGCACATTCCAACCGACGATCTCTCGGACAATACACCGAGAGGCTGAAATCGTGGAGGTGCGATAAACACGCCGGAAACTCTCTTTTCTTTCATTCTTCTTTCCCTCTTATCTCTCGTCAGACCAATCGGAGTTCTCTCGCGCGTTCCTCTCGCCGGACGCAACGGACTCTGCCGCGTAGAAATATTTACGCGCAATGCGATTCGTGGAGTGACATAATTGAACGGCGGCGTTCCGGGTTTTGATTCTATCGTGTGCGGCGCGATGTCCCGCTCGATCGCGCGTCGATTTCGCTTGGAATCGACGGGCGGATCACGCGCGAAAACGCGGTAAATCCTGACGCACGGCGACACCGCGCGTCCTCGCCAATAATGCGGAAAGAGCCGTGTGGGAAACTTGGTCCGAGACCCCTCGGGTGGCTCGGTCGCACGCGGTGCTCCGAGGCTGCCGGCAGTAAAACCACGCGGCTGTAAAATTAATCGAATTTTGACACTCACCGATTCATCGGGCTCCGTCTGTCTTTGCCGAGCGTCCAGCGGCTGGATGCGCTCCCCTCGCTCGCCGCGGGACCAGCGAAAACACGGAACGATTCACTTGTCACTAATTAAAGATATCGCGACGGCGGCCATACTGCCTCGTGCGCGAAGCGACTCATGCTCGCTCCGCGCGATGGCAGCACGTGCCGCTCAGATGATAACTAGTCTGAAAAACATTTTTATAAAATCTCATATTTTTTAATTTTATATATCGTATATTTTAATGATGATTCACGATGTCGTATATTTTTTACGTGGAAAGGTTTATTTAAACTTCTTCTTTTCCAGAGTCTTTTCTTCAGAAATTATAGACTGAGGAAGCTTAGAAATTTTAAAATTCTAGCTAGTGGAACAATTTTCCTGAAATTTTACTAAAATTGTTCCATAATTCCAAAATAATTTGTAACAAAATTTGAGTTTAATTTTGGCAAAATTTAATTGAATTTAAAAATAAAATTGCATATTTTTTGAACGCTGGATGATTTCTGAATAAATTTTTACAATTTTTCTAAATGATTAAAAAATGCATCGCACTTGTTTTCATCTTGAAGCCTAATTTTAGGCATTTGTTAATTTCTTTAAAGAATTAGTTTATTAAAATATGGATGAAAAATCTCATAACTGTTCCTTTTATTCTATTCTGTGTGGCATATTTTACGAGAAATAAAATCTGCCCCGTACATCTTGGCGGTGTCGCATAATATTCGTGACAAATTTCAGTGTAGTGTTAAATAAATTTCAGCAAATTTTCAGAAATAATTTTCAATCAAATTGAAAATTATTTTTAACAAAATTAAGAGAAATTTCAATGCATTTTCAGAGAAATTTCAGCAAACTCTTTCTTCTTTTCTTGAAAATTTCCTTTTTCCATAATTTTCGAAAAAAGCAGAGAAATTTTAGTTTAATTAATTGTAAAACTTTTCACCTACTTTTATTGAAAAAAAGTATTTTCTACGAAATTGTAACAGAATTTCTAGTAATTTTTGCTGAAATATTACTTTCAAACAAAATTTCTGTGACATTTCAGTGAAATTTTCATCAAGGAATATTCAGAATTTATCATGTATGAATTAAAGTCTAGAAAAAGATTTAGACCGGTATTCATAGTAGTCGGTTCATGTTAGCATAATTGGTGCAATATTGGTCGATATATCCCTAATTCATGCTAATGTTTCATCAATATTTTGCTAAAGGTTGTTGTAAATAATTCAATGCTAAAATACAAGATTGGGGGGGGGGG